TAGGAGCATTCGCATGTGTTGTATTTCAATTTTCATTGTAAATTCTTTTAAAAGTTGTTCAAACCCATTGTAAATTTGTAATGATTTTTAATACTATGGTTGGTGTTGTCTTTTAATTTTTGCTATGAAACCCTTTATACTGCCACGCCTCGTGTTTCCGCTTTAGCGAGGTGTGACAGAAAATGGTATCAGAGCCGAAGGTTATAGAGAATACTGGTTTTCCTTTGGAGAACCATAACTATAGCCAAAAAATTTCAAAATGTTTTAAAATACTGAACATACTACTGGTATAACTAATTCGAGTACGCATTATTGGAATCTAATTAAGTGTAGCCTGGCCAACTATGCTTAATTAAGGAAAGTTAATGTGAGGCTGGAAACGGTTATACTAGAATTATGTTCCAAATAATTTTCAACTTAAACTTTTGAAAAACAAAATTTTTCGGTGTGCGTACGGGCATTGCATATTATAGGCATTCATCTAGATACACTTAGAAACTAAGTGCACTTTTATAACAATTGCTTTATTTAGAAATATTCTTACCCCTTATCAAGTGCTAGGTTAACCACTTAGGTTATATCACTAGTTGTAGTATGTTCCTCCCTGTACTAGTTGTAGTATGAACTGAAGCCCTAAACTATACCTGTTATAATTTACTAGTATGTTTACTTGAACTATATCTGATTTGTAGAAAATACTTGATTATCTACTGAGTTATGATTGTACTTCAAAAACCAAAGTTTTATAAACAACAAAGTTCTATATCTTTAAAAGAGTTTTTGAAATGATTTGATCACTTAAAAAAGCATAAGAAATCCTTTAATGTGACGGTTATCACAAATAACATTTACACAATTATCATTGTGTTCAACTTGTATTCCCCCCCCCCCCTTAAAAGCATTTAAAACATTTAAAAGATTGATTATAGGGGTATGAACTCACCTTATGTGGGTGATTCAATTGAAGATTCGAGTAAGGATGAGAAGTTCCACGAATGAAGTCCCGAGACACAAATGAGTCCTAAATGACATATATTGATACATATATGCATGTAATTAGAAATCTAACTACAAAGGTGATTGGGAAACAACCTAGTATGCAAGGATAACTCACCAAAGAAGAGTTGGAAACAAGATAGGTGGTTGATTGGATGTTCACGACCCAAAGGAAGGATGGTTCACGGCCCAATGGAATTCACGACCCAAATGGATGAATGGTTCACGACCCAAGCTGGTTCACGGCCCAACTTGATGAGTGGTTCACAGCCCACATGGTGTTCACAGTCCAATCTTGAAGGGTTTGCGGCCCAAATGTGAAGAACACTTGAAGATCTATGTGTTTTGGTGAGTGTTTGAAGATCCTAGTAAGCTTCTATGGAGTATCTAAGGAAAGGGGGTGTTTATGAGTGAAAGATGGTGTTCTTGAAGTATGATACTTGAGAGAGAATGGAGTGTTTGCAGCCAAGAGATGAAGAAGTGAAGGAAAAATGGCAAAAACCCATATATGCTAAGGGTTCACGGCCACCCTTGGGTTCACAGTCGTGAACACTCTTTGATGGTCTTTCTGGATCGATTTCATTCCTCTAATACTAAGCTAACACTTTTCAACATCCAATCCATAAGTGTACTAGGCTTAGAACTCATTAGAATGACGCTTAACAAGGCTAAAAGGCAATATAAATAAGTCTGACTTTTGGTTGACTGGGTTGACTTTACAAGATAGAAATTTACGGGTTGTCACAAATTACCCGGAGTGCCTCCGGAGAGGCATGTGGAGTTCCGGACTGATCTGGTTCCTGGTGCAGCCCTAGTAGCCAAGGCACCATATCGATTAGCCCCACCAAAGATGCAGGAATTGTCTACACAGCTGTAGGAGCTGTTACACAAGGGATTTATACGGCCGAGTAGCTCACCTTGGGGGTGCACCGATCTTATTTGTGAAGAAGAAGGATGGGTCGCACCGGATGTGTATTGACTACCGGCAGTGGAACAAGCTAATGTTGAAGAACCGTTATCCACTTGCGAGGATCGATGATTTATTTGACCAGCTTCAGGGGGAGTATTGGTTTTCCAAGATTGATCTGCGCTCGGGATACCACCAGATGATGGTCAGGGAGGATGATTTGCAGAAGACAGCCTTTCGGACTCGTTATGGTCATTACGAGTTTGTGGTGATGCCTTTTTGTCTCACCAACACGCCAACCGCATTCATGGATCTCATGAACCGCGTGTGCACGCCGATGTTGGATCGGTCGGTGATAGTATTTATTGATGATATCCTGGTCTATTCCACGACGCAGGAGCAGCATGAGGAGCACTTCCGAGAGTTGTTGGATACCCTGAGGAGGGAGAACCTTTACGTGAAGTTCTCAAAGTGCATATTCTGGTTGCGAGAGGTGCATCTGGGGCACCTTGTCAACCAGAACGATATTTTGTTCGATCCGGCCAAAGTGGAGGCCGTGATGAGATGTGAGGTTCCGAGGTCTCCATCTGAGATTTGGAGCTTCCTTGGGCTAGTTGGATACTATCGGAGATTTATTCAAGATTTCTCCAAGATAGTAGTACCCCTAACACGATTGACGAAGAAGACTGCCATTTTCTGTTGGGGGCCTGAGCAGCAGGCAACGTTTGAGACCTTGAGACAGAAGTTATGCGAGGCATCGATTTTGACCCTGCCAGAGGGTGTCGAGGGTTTCATAGTTTATTGTGAGGCGTCTATTTCGGGCTTGGGCGCAGTCTTGATGCAGATGGGGCACGTCATCGCTTACGCCTCGAGGGGAATTACCCGACACACGATTTAGAGTTAGGGGTGATAGTTTTTGCCCTCAATATTTGGCGACACTACCTCTATGGGGTCCGTTGTACTATTTACATGAATCACAAGAGTCTGAGGTATCTGATTGATCAGCTAAATCTGAACATGAGGCAACGTCGGTGGCTGGACGTGGTGGAGGACAATGATTGCGAGATCCTTTACCACCCATGGAAGGCCAATGTAGTGGACGATGCTCTTAGCCGCAAGGCAGTCGCAACTCCGATCAGGGATATCTATATCAGGATGACAGTGGTGACTCCGCTTCTAGAGTGGATTCGGGAGGCCCATTTGGAGGCTATGAAGGAGGAACACAGGAAGAGTGAGCGCATCATGGGTCAGATTTCGTCCTTCGATTATGATAGCCGATGTTTATTGACACTTTATCGGAGAGTGTGGGTCCCGTACTTAGGCGGTGTGTGCTAAATCCTGTTTGTGGTGGCGCACAAATCCAGATTTTCCATCCATCCCGGGGTGACGAAGATGTGTAGAGATCTTCGTCCTGATTACTGGTGGCCCTGAATGAAGTGGGATGTAGCCTGGTATTTCGAGAGATGCTTGACCTGCAGGAAGGTCAAGGCCGAGCACCAGAGGCCTCATGGCAAGATGCAGCCGTTTGACATCCCATTGTGGAAATGGGAGGAGATTACCTTGAAATTCATCACTAAGTTTCCGCGGACGGTGCGAGGAGTCGATGCGATATAGGTTATCGTGGATCGATTGAACAAGAGCGCCCATTTCATTCCGATCTAGGAGAGTATTTCTATAGAGAAGATGGCAGATATCTATATCAGGGAGGTCGTGCTCGGGATGGCCTGCCGGTTTTTGTGATTTCCGATAGAGACGTGCTGTTCACTTCCAGATTCTGGAAGAAATTTCATGACGAGCTGGATACTCGCCTATACTTTAGCATGGCCTTCCACCCTCAGAAGGATGGTCAGAGCGAGCGGACCATCCAGAAATTGGAGGATGTGTTGCGGGCGTGTGTTCTCATATAAGAATAGCTACGACACCAGCATTGACTAGACTCCCTTTGAGATGCTTTATGGGAGGAAGTGCAGAACCCCGATATGTTGGGGTGAGGTCGGTCAGCGAGTCATGGGGAGTACCGAGGTGGTCATATTTGGCCACATTATTCGACTGAGGCTAAACGATACATTTGGACATACAAACAATTAAAAAAAAACGTCAACATAATATGCTTACAACCACATGGTTTGTGACGTTTATTATATGTGGCTAAATGATACATATGGTCATACAAACAATTCATGTGACCATAGGTATTACTGTTAGCCACATTAGATTTCTATATATGTCGTTAAATGATACATATGATCATACAATCAATTAATGTGACCATATGTATTACCTTTTCTCCACATTAGATTTCTATATGTGACAATATATATACTAATGATCTCATCTATAACCATTACGATTTTTAAATGTGGCGAAAATAATCCAGGATTTTACCAATGATAATTTGCCAAACTTTATAAGGAAATGGTCAATTTTTTTTTCCGAAATGTGGCAAAGCGATTTTTGAAAAGTGTGGCTGTAAGTTATTTTTGTTGTAGTGAATTACTTACTCCTTCTAGCATTTCTATAAGGAGGAAGATTAATCAAGACTATACTTTATTATTCACTACAAAAAAATGTCAATTAGTGACCAAAACGATATGGTCACTAACAATAGAATGAATCGTCACTAAATGATTTAGTGACGAAAATTCAGGTCGTCACTATAGGTCCGTCACAAAAGCGATTTAGTGACCAAATATAAATATGGTCACTAAACAGTGACTAAAATATACTCGTCACTAAATCTGTGACGACCCACTTCGTCACTAAATGTTGTCACTAATCAATTAAAGTTGTCACTATTTTATCTACTTAGTGACCAATAAAAGTGGTCACTGTTTAATCCGATTAGTGACCATAGAAAGTCGTCAGTGTTTAATCTGATTAGTGAGAATACCAAGTCATCACTGATTTATCCTATGAGGCACGAAAAGGGGTCAATAATTATGAAATTATTGAAATATTAAATGTCATTTTTAATATGAAATATAAATATATCCAATTAGACAAAAGAAAAAGCAATCCAATAAATTTTTACAATACAACAATAACCAAATAAATCTTCACATTTATAATATGAAAATTAAATGTCAATTTAAAAAAAATCCATACATTTTATCCAATATTTCAAACAACAAACATATAAAGATCAACCGGGTGAAGTTCATTTAATAAGAAAAGTAAGTTCAATTGATCAATGCAATTGAGATAAACGTGAAAGCTCACTCATCATAAATTCCATTTTCTTATTTTGCTCCTCTCGATGTTTAATATGCTCTTCTTGAAATTGTAGTTGCTCTTCTTTAATTACACGAATTTCCTCCTCCAAGGCTTTTGATTTTTCCTTTTCCAGTTCCTGTTCCATTTGTAACTTTTCTGTGCCTAAAACTTGTTTTGTCGAAACAGAACGCACTTTTATATATCCCGGTATACGAGGTAGTTTTTTCATACATATTTCAGCCGGCGAACAAGAAGAAGAAGCTTTCTCATTTAGCAATTCATTCTGCATAAAAAAACAATTTAGATTAAAAGTAAAACAAAAATTATTCATAAATATGTCAAGATATTAAAAATACCCAAATTCCTCCGGCCTTCTCATTGATCATTTGATTTTTCTTTTTCGAAAAATGTCCAATCTTGTAACGTTCAATGAATGATACTTCTTCTCCTTCTTTCTTTTTCTGTTTTCAAAAGGTTGCTCACCATAAGTTTGTCAAGATATATATATTTGTAACAAAGTTGAACTAGAGGAACAAAACTTTGACAATGCAATGAAAGATTTAAGATTTAAAAAAGTTGCTTACCATGTCAACAATCCTTACAATTGAAACTGTGCCAACCGCGGGTGGAACTTGATAAAATGATTTGTTCTTCTTGTTTCTAATGCTAACTTTATGGAACAATTAAAGAAGTGAAAAGGATTATATCATGCAAAATGTAAAGCACATGAAGATTTTTGTAATTATGCGAAGAACATAGGAACCAAAAAAACACATGGAGCAATTTTATAATTCTGCAAATTAAATACACAGGGACCAATTCTATGAATTTTGCAAAATAAAAAAGCACAAGGGTTGTTTTTGTCATATTTGCAAACCAAAAAAACAGGGACCATTTCGGTCATTTGTCCACACTATTACATAGGGACCATTCCTGTAATTCTACAAAGTAAAACATAGGCACCATTTCTGTAAATTTTGAAAAATAAAAAACACAAGGGTTGTTTCTATCATTTTTTCAAACCAAAAAACACATGAACCAATTTTATAATTATGCAAATTGAATAGACAGGGACCAATTTTGTAATTATGAAAAGTAAAAACTCAATGAGCATTTATGTCATTTTAACATTTCTTGATATAATTTGGAAAAGAAGTAAAAACCTGAAATTCTTTACTTGCAAATTTTTGAAATAGTTTTACCCAATCAACATTGATTACACCATTTGGAGGATGATTGATTGCTTCCTCTGTTGTAGAGAGCTTTTTGAAATGAAGGTGCAACCTATATTGCCTGTTTTTATGTTGGTTCGCCAGTTGTGTATCGATAGCACGCACCATCAAGCGACAACCTGGATCATAATTTGAATTTTCCTACATAAAGGTTCATTTAAGAAATAGCAATGTATTCTCATTTATTTGTTTATTATAACATCATACTTTCATTGCTTTCTATTACATGATTGTACAGTTTTGAAGAAACTTTTTGGAGTACATTGTCTTTTTTGAAAGTACAATGCTATAATAAAAGAAATGAAAGTACAATCCCATAATAGAACGAAATGAAAGTATATTGTTTCTTTAAAGAGAGTTGATAACATCATACCGTGCATTTAGTGATAATATCATACTTCAACAAATCTGGTTGGTTTTTCCAAGTGGTTCCATCAAATTTTGCATGATCTCTAACTACACACCCACCCTTAGTGATGAATTGTGGACTATCTTCCCCAACTATACGACCAGCACATTCATCAACTTCAAAAACTAAATTTGCCTTATTCGAGCGCCTCTTTTTAGTTTCATTCAAAGCTCTAGATTCTTTTCGAGTATTAGACATGCCTACATAGATTTAGTCAACAAGAAAATTGATTGATTATATACTCATATACATTAATCACATACTATTTTACTTCAAATCAATATACCATGAGAAGTTGAACAAATGTTCTCATCTCGAAAAGAATCAACTTCGTGTTCCTCTTCTTCAAAATCCTCCTCATCGTGGTTCAAACTAGAAACTCTTCTCATATGACTTTGATGGGGAGAAAGTGACTCCATTGTTTCATAAGTAGGCAACTCTTCATCTTGCAACATGAGATTAGTAGGTCTCTTATGAGAAAGTGACTTTTGAAGGTCAGATCTCTTTAATACCCCTTTTCCAGGGCCAACCATCTAAATAACAATAACACACATTTTTAATTCCATGTAAAGTGGTGTTATCAAAAGTCAAAGTTAGAGAAAATACCATCTTTGAAAAATTAGTATTCTTCAACTTTTGTTGACTTGGCTTCTCTATTCCCCGATGTCTTTTCTGATCCATCAAATGTCTAGTCAAACACTGCATACCAAACAAGACCATAAAGAGTACATAAAAGACATTATATTCTTAAATAGCAATGTATTTTTATGAAATTAATTTTTTCAGATTTAAATGGTACTTTCTAGAATTCAAAATCACCGATACCATTATACGTTGCTATAAAAAAGTAAAAATAAGAAAATACATTGATATAATACATAAAGTTAATGTAAGTTGATTGCTTACTTCATCACGAAGGTTAGATGCCTCATTTTGACCTCCCATATCTTTATTTACATAAAGTTAATGTTTATGGTGTTATTGAAATGAGTTGTTAAAGTACACTGCTTAATAAGAAAGTGCAATCATGTAAAAGAATAAACAATTGTAAATCTTATGCTTGAATATATTTGTGTGCTATAGCCTATAAGTTAATGTAACTTTTTTTTCTATTACAGCATTGTACTTTCAATTGTTTCTTATTAAGGCAAACTTTTATTAGAAGAAATGAGAATATGATGCTATAACAAACAAAGTAAAAAAAGTACATTGCTATTTCTTGCATGTTATAGAAACTAAACTTTACCAATGGTTTAATATTTTACTAGAACTAAATTTAATAGTAGTTTAAAACATGGTTAAATAAACAAGCTTCTCATAACATAATGGTAATCCAACAAGTGGGAGGTTCGCATTTATCCATAACAACACTTTACATGGAATGTATGAAAAAAATTACCATTTTACCCTTAAGAGTTACATTTAATTTAATTTTCCATTTTACATGGAAATTTATACGAAAGAAGTTGGGTAAATTTGTTACCTATTTTGACTGAGTATGTTGCCAGTAGGCGGCACAGCTTGTCCTGTTCGCGTTTGTGTGAACTAGAAAGTTAAAAATTAAGACTTGTTATTATATGAAAAAAAATGAAAAATATCATTACATAAAAAGAATCACTTACTTTATTAGTTCCTTTATTTCATCACAATTGTTTAGAATATCTGTATGAATCTTCTCCAATTCATTTTCACTCAAATCCTGTGCTTTTGGACTACCTAATGGGCGCCCTTTGCATGAAAAAACAGAAATTTCACCATCGCTATCCATCATTTCATTGTTGCGCTCAACCTTATTGAAAAGCGTGTCAACATCATTCAAATACATAGAACAAAAATTCAGGAATTCTTTGTCTATGAATCTCTCAGCAATACATCCTTCTGGACGAGCTTTGTTCTTGACATATCCTTTTAAAGTACCCATTTTCCTCTCAAAAGGGAACATCCAACGGTATTGAGGTGGGCCTGCGATCTTGGCTTCATATGGCAAATGAATCAGAAGATGGACCATGATGTCAAAGAATGATGGAGGAAATATCCGCTCCAACTTACATAATATGAGAACAATTTTTGCCTCTTGTTCCTTTAAAACATCTAGGTATATACTTCGTGTGCATAATTTCTGGAAAAACTCGCTGAGTTCGTACAACACAAGTCGAACTTCCTTTTTCAAACAACCCCTAATTGATAAAGGCAACAACCATTGGATGAAAACATAAAAGTCATGACTTTTCATGTGTGACAACTGGAAGTCACCCCCTCGAGGCAAATCCATCCGGGAACTTAAGTGACTTCAAGACATCTAATATCTTTCGTTTCTCTTCCTTTGTCAAATGGTAGCAAGCCATAGGCATTATAAATGAATTTTCATCTGGTTGTAAATGTAAGCTCTTCTTTAAACCTTCATCCATCAAATCCTTGCGAGATTTCCATGCGTCCTTTGATTTTATTCTTGATATTGAACAATGTGGCCGTCAAGCTTTCTGTCACATTCTTAACAACATGCATGATATCAGTGTTGTGTCTCAATTTTAGTTTAGCCCAGTATGGAAGCTTAAAGAACACACTTTTCTTTTTCCATCCTTGTATGTCCTCTCTAGACTTACATTTTCTTGAGTTAGAAAACATATCAACGTCAGCCAAAATTTCATTTCCAGACTTTGGTGTCAATGGTTCCCGCATATCTACCGTCCCATCAAAGTTCTTTTTATCTCTACGCCATATGTTTGAGGCTACAAAAATCTTCGATGACCCATATAGCACATTTTTTTACTATGAGTCAAGTAACGAGATGATGTTTCATCCATACATGTAGGACAAGCATTGTAACCCTTAACACTCCAACCAGAGAGCATACCATATGCTGGAAAATCATTTATTGTCCACAAAAGGGCTGCTCGTAATGTAAAAGTTTTGTTTCTAAGTGCATCGTAAGCATTTACACCAACCAATAACTCATTTAGTTCGTCAATTAGAGGTTGAAGGTAGACATCAATATTAATGCCAGGTGATAAGGGACCTGGAATCAACATCGGCATGAATATACATGGGTCTTTCATACACTTCCATGGTGGCAAATTCTACGGTACAACAAAGACAGGCCATATGCTATGCGAACTGTTACCAAATGGATTGAATCCATCTGTTGCCAACCCTAATCGTATATTACGTGGATCAATAGAGAATGAAGGAAACTCTTTATCAAGATGTTTCCAAGCTTCAGTATCCGCAGGATGTCTAACTATATTATCATCATCGACTCGTTTTTCCTTATGCCACCTCATGTCACAAGCGACTTGTTTGTCAATAAACAATCTTTGAAGTCTAGGTTTGAGAGGAAAGTATCGAAGCACCTTTCGTGGTACTTTCAAATCATTTCCGCTAAATCGAGGCTCTTTGCAGCCGTCACTTGGGCAGTGGGTATGAGACACATACTCTTTCCGATAAAGAACACAGTCATTAACACATGCGTGGATTTTTTCTCCTTGAAAACCCAAATCACGTATGTATTTTTTTGCTTCATAAAAATTCTTTGGGACTAATGATGGAGTTGGCAAGGCTTTTCTAAATATATCAAGCAAAGCATCAAATGATTTGATGGACCAACCACTTGTCGTCTTTAGATGTAAAACTGTAACAATAAATGAAAATTGTGAGTAACTTTGACATCCTTCATAAAGTTCCCGGTGCGATTCATCCATCAATCCTCGGAGGGCTTCTAAATCCTTGTCTAAGGTACATGAGGAATCACCACTAGCTTGCCAATTATCACCCCATTTACTTTGACCTATGTTATTTAACATCTCATCAAGGTCATCATTATTTAAGTCATCATTAGCCCCATCAACTTCATCAATTGATATATCATCATCCGATGTATCATATGACTCACCATGATATATCCACCTAACATAACTAACAACAATTCGAATTTGCATCAAATGTGAGTATATAGTTGTTCGGTTATGATGTCGAAAATTATTGCATTTTTTGCAAGGGCATGGAACTTTTGACAACTACTCTATCGCGGTATGCAAAATTAAGGAATTCATTTACACCCAACTCATATCTTGGGTCCTTTGTCCTATGAACTATATTCATCAAAGACTTATCCATATGATCTGGTAAAAGAAAAATTCATGAAAATAGGATAAATGTATAATGACAATGAAATAGAAAACTCATGTAGGGTTGTTAAATTAAGCAATAAGTTAATCTAAATTTTATATATAAGATAGAAACTAAAATGTACTACTAACTTACAGATATATTAAAGATAAACTAGCATGCCAAATAGTCTAAAGTAGCATCTGGTAGTTTTCTTTTAAAATAACATACAAAGGTGCATAAACTTGGTATAATACTAAATATCCTAACATGGTCAGTATATGAACCCATGATTTTGACAACTACTATATACGTTGTTCATATAATTCAAGCAATTTGTTTGTATAAATTGACTTGATATCTTTTATTTGCTTGACACAAGAATCATTAGAATTGAGAACACAAACAGATGGACGTTAAATAGATGGACATTGTAAGCAATTGAAAATAACCATAGATGACCCAAGGTCGTGCACCATTAAAGAAGAATCACGTAAAAAGTAGCATGTTTAACATTGTCATCTTATGGTGTATGATTAATCAAGCATAAGAAATTATGATCTAAAATTATCCCGTTCTTCTATGCCTTGTTATTTCTTCATTTGTGATCTTATATGATCAACTCATATGATAACTAGATTTGATGAGATGCTTAACTGATCAGAAGACATGTATGAATTTTTCTTTGAAGAAAAAGATGATTTAGGAAACTTAAGATAAGAGATACACATATAACAATTATAATTTAAATTATGATAAGTTTAAAAGAATAATGGTAACTATTATTTAGATGTGGTCTGACCTCTAGCTTCAACTGTTTTATGGTAACTTCTGCTGTGTTTTTTCAGTCCTTGCTTATTGCTCTTTAAAACTATTAATTTTTGAATCTCATATAAATTTTATGTTATATAAATCATATGCCAATGAGGTGAACAGGAGTTTCCTTTCATATTTTAATATCACTGGTTATTTTTTAGTCAAATAATTGTTGATTTATTAGTTTTAGGTGTTTAAGCCCCAAGACTTATATATCTCACAACTAGAGAGCACAAAAGTGGTTGCTAATGGACTTGAAAGAATGACAACCTCTTTTTTCTCTCAACATGTCTTTGTTTAGAAAACAACTAACCACCCATCAAATTTTAATAGAGGTCTTGTTAAAATAAAAAATAATACAATATTTCCCTCAACGTGACTTTTCAACCTTAATTTACTTTTGATAGTTGAATGAGAAGCTCCAGTCCACAAGTAATTGTGAGTTTCCCTATTCCTGTTCCTCTATTTATATTCTGTTGTTAAGTTGGTGCACAAGGATCAAGGCGTGAATCAGATCCTTTTGATTACATATATTAATATATTACAAGTACCTTAAAAAAAATTACATAGTCAAAAGATAGAAAACTTACGGTATGGGTTCATATATGATGTATAATTATTGTGGGTATATTGGTCATTTTGCTGATTTATGTTCTGGGAGTTAGGAATTGTGTCATGGCTTGTGTTTTTACTTGGAAATGTTTTTTTGTTCGTTTTTCTAAATTTATAAACGATTTATGTGTTGAATATGATTACAAAATCTATTTGTTATAGAAATGTCAGTTATATACAATGCAATTTTCGCAGCTATAAATATAATTGGGTAGAGTTTTCAACTTCTTATTACAACATTCTACTTTGAAAAACCGACCCAACTATAGCAATGCTATAATGTTGTAATAAAAAAATCTGCAAGTACAATGCTATAATTGGGTAGATTTTTAAAGTGAAATGGCTTAATAAAACCAAACTGAAATTAAAATGCTATTTCTTGTATTTTCCCTAATAATATAACTTCTTGAATCAAGCGATTCTAAATGTTGGATACATTTTCAATACACTTTGGGCGACTTTTAATCAGAAATACATGAAGTTATAATGCTTGTATATTTATAACAAAACTATTTTACAGTTTACATTTTACTTCATTGGAGAAAAATAGTTGAATTTTATTCTTAAGCGGCTTTAATTCTTAAACCGATAAAGATTCAATGGAGAAAAATAGTTAAATTTTATTCTTAAGCGGCTTTAACTCTTAAACTGATAAAAACACCAGCATATGTTTGTTCTTCAATTATTAATCTGTGAAAATATTTTGAGAGTTCATGTTGCTTATTTTGCAGCCTTGCTCCGATGAATGTTAGATTGACACAGTAGAAGCTTGTGCAATTAACTTGTTGCCTTAGTTACGCTCTTTTTGTTTATTGTTTAAATTTTTATGGGTCTCAAAAAAACAATGTGTATAGATAAAATGAAAAAAATAACTGTTGATTTATTAGTTTTAGTTTTAGGTTATTTTTTTTATTGGGCTTGTCGATTTGTTTGTTTGTTCAAATTTAATGAAGATGGTAAGTATTTCTTTAATTATCTTCAAGGAACATGTAAGCATCAACTTGAGTTGGCTGACTTCGAGAAAAGACAGGTGAGTCATGTCTGTTTTGTAGAAAAAGTTTGCTTCTTTTTTTGGCCCGAGAATAACAGCCGAAATTGGTGAGTTGTTGTTATGTTTTGATTTTATACCAAAAGATTTTTTTTTCAAGAAGAATAACCCTAATGGGATTTGAGGGGAATGACCAAGGTTGGGCATTGATATCCAATTGATCAACTGAGATGCCAAGGGAAAATGCGGAAATGACATTGACAACTTTAACAGAGTTCCAGAAATGAGAAGGAAGTGTACAGGTGAATGGCTTTATTGCTGCATTGAAATGACACATGGAAAGTTTGCAGACACCACATCATTATAACCGACTTATACTTCCTGAGATTGGTGGTGGGATTCTTGAGGTAGTTCTTTCTATAAGTATAATAATGTTGTAAGAGAAAATGGAGAGATTCTTTATGTTTTGTTGTTGTACTGATTAAGGAAAATGGTAAAGGGTTATTGTATTTTGAATTGAGTCTGGAATTGTGATTTGTTATTAGGGCCAGTGAAGAAGTGTTGTTACAGATGCGACACGGGTTCGTAGTTCTTGAATAAGTAATCAATTGTTTAGATAAAATACTAAATGATTTTTTTCAATTAAATTTATTGGAGATTATTGTGTATGTACGGAAAGGAGAAGAAGAGAAATCATATGATGTACGAAGGATTTTCAATTCCGATGTTATAAGAAGATGATCCGGAAGGAATGGAATGGAATTGAGAAGCAGAAAATTTAGAAATAAGTCAATTTTATAGAATTGGTGGCATGTGGATGGAAGCTATTTGACACAAAACTATAATATTAATATCCATAACAATAATAGACTAAATAGCAACATAGTTTGATTTGTTACAATATTTTACTCTTCTATAAGTATAATAATGTTGTAAGAGAAAGAAAAATGAAAGTATACATGGAGAAATCATATATACAAGTAATGGCTAATTAACAAAGTAATGCTACAATAAAGAAATCTGGTTTCACTTCAAAATGGCATCTTTTCAAGTTCATTAGGGCAAAATTTAACTACTTAAGCATGTCCTAAATCTTTGTCCCCTAATCCTTGGAGAAATCATGCTAGTAAACAAAGCACTGCCTAAATTACTCATATAAGTTGCATAATCCCATTAAATATATTTACCACTTTTATCAAGACGTAGGTCAGCAAGCCCTAAAAACTAAAAGATGGCAAGTGATTAGGTGTTGTGACCTATTAAAGAAAGCTATGGAATGGAGAGAATAATGTGTTTGGTATGACGGAATCAGAAAAAGGAATGGAATGGTTCATTCCATTCCTTTCCATCCAATCAAACAAACCATTTAATAGTTTAAAATCATTATGATTTGTTGACTGTTTTTAATAATTGGGTTTGTCTTTTTCTTATTATTTGTGCAGGAACTTGCGGAGATGATTTTCCAATCTGCAATGTAGGTTTTAGAATTTCCAACAACTAGAAATTCGTTGGTTTTTACTTTTTAGGTTAGACGTCAATAAGGCAAAAGAAATCCATGGTTTCTATATGCAATGCGTCTTTACTCTTTAGTGTGAAAAATTAAGTAAATTAAAGTTTATATGTGAAAAGCGGATCAGGGTGTCATAACAAATTCATGGGAAGGGAAGGTTAGTCAAATAGCACAAATCATGGCATACAGGTGTATATATGAGAAGGTGAATCAACTTGATTAAATGTGATTGTAAAACTCAGTTAAACCTAGAAAAAGAAGTTGATAGTCACTCAATCGATTGACTTATCTGATCATCCGAGTATGGAGTACCTGTTTGACTTTGAGTTTAACTTCGAGTGGAGAATAGAGGTGCGCCAATAGGAGGGTGTGGAGCGGCGATGGACCGGCGACGATGGGTCGGCACGATGCTGTCAATGTTGGTGTATCGATTTATAGGACAAAAGAGATGTTGAGTCGATTTAGGGGCATACTACTGTAGTCAAAATTAGTCAACCTTGTTAACCTCCTTACTAAACCAATTAATCGTGTTTACAAAAAAAATTATATGTATCATTAATTTGGTCAAAATTAGTTAGTCAAAATATAAAGACCAGTCACTAATGTAACTAGTCTTTGCAAAATTATGTATAAAAAAAGTGTAGTTATTTTCAAAAATAAAAAATATTAATTAAAAATATTTTAGTTTTTGTTAATTGAAAACTAATATATATATATATATATATATATATATATATATATAATCAGTGACTACTGCTTTATGGTCACTAATTGTTTTTTTCTTGTAATTCATCAGTGACCACTATTGAGTGGTCACTAATTGTTTTTCCACATTTAAAGAGTAGTCAGTGACCATTATTTTTGGTCACTAAACCTTCAATACAGTGACCACTTTTTTTGTCACTAAACTTCTAACATATTGACTATTATTCTTAGTCACTATATAGTTAAGATAGTGACCATTATTTTTTAGTCACTAAATAGTTGTTATGATATGAAACAAAAGAAGTTTAATTTTTTTGCATTAAAGTGACTGAGTTAGTGACCACCATATATAATTCGTCATTAAATTTGTTGGATTACCAAAATTCAGTGACCACTTAATTTCTAGTGACTAAAAGATGCTTTCAGTGACCAAATTTTAGGTCGTCACTAAAAATTAGTCACTAATAAGGACTTTTCTTGTAGTGATTAGATATGGATTACATATCAATGTTCACGACTCTTATTCATTAACCATCTTCAAGATCTGATATATCATTTTGGTTGTTGATGGATTTGCCAAAAATGATCAAGAAAACTCATGAATGAGAGATTCCTCATTTCTCAAGTCATATATGATTTCTATCATTAATGTGAATAGTTTGTATTTGTTAATAGTTGTTATTCATGTTCAACAATTCCTTATTGAAACTAGTGCCAACTGATGCTACATCAAACAATAGTTCTTGAGCTGCTTCAAGTTCCATGTGTCTCATACTTACATTTTTTGGATACGTGTCTAAGTCCATAACTATATTTGGTATGTACTTGACCCGATTGGCATGGTCCATTTGGGTTGCATGGCATCATGCATTTGGATAGACTAAAATGAGAGAAATAACACTTAAGGTTTATTAATATATTATAAGTTCTAATATATTAACATGATTATTTAATTAGTATTGATCAAGAATTAATTTGGAATTAATTAAGTGATCAAAAGGAGACTAATTAAACATATGGGTTGATTGTGTAAATCATCCATACTTGTATAGTGGGCTAATGCTCCATGGATTATCAAGTTGGGCTAAAACCCATAGGATGCTCCATGGTGTTTTTGTACCCATGGATCATGGAAATGAAAGGCCATGACAATTAGGGTTTACATGCTGTAACCTTAATTGTGACACACTATATAAGCATCTTATTCTTCCCAAAAACCGGTCACTATAAAGGAATGGTGAGGGCTAGCCGATTTCATGAAGTGTCTCATTTCTCTCAAGTTATTCTAAGTGTATTTGGTGTTGTGTGAACCATTTGAGGTGTCACAGTTAGGCACTAGGCTCTTAAGCTCCATGGAATCAAGCTACATCAAAAGGTATGTCTTCTAACTTAGATTATTCCATATGAATCAGTGGTTTGTATGCTAGTTAGGATAATAACTTGGAATATTCATATTTGCATGTATAATGGAGAAAACATAGATCCAAGGTATTTAGGGTTGCATGTACACTTAGGAGTGTTAGAATGCTCAAAACCCAGCAGTGGTATCAGAGCCTAGGCTTGTTTTCTTGTTATACTTGCAAAATTGGCTGAAAAATCGAAGTTTGTTGCTGTCTGCTCAGCAGACTCGCCGAGTCCATGAAGGGACTCAACGAGTCCAAGGCTAAACTCATCCAACTCGCCGAGTTGGTTCATGCACTCGACGAGTTAGACCCCCAGACAGCATATCTTCGACTGTTTTGGCTGGAATTGGACTAGGAACATTACCTTAAGCTGTTTTTCAACTTATAAACCTGTTTTTGATGTGGTGATGTTCGTGCTAATCCAATTTCAAAGATAATTATCAATAGATTCATGTTTTGTATTAGTTTAATGGTTAGGCTAATTACATGAAAAAGTTTGATTGAATTATCTTGTTCTCATGAGTTGCTTAGATTAATAGAAAAGTTATGTGAAATTGTTGTTTTCAATCCAAATTAATCTAAGAGTTGGTTCTAAAATGTGTTTTTGTAACTTGTCCTCAAGTTATATGAAAAGTCACATTTAAGATTCGTAAAACTCATAAATATTTCCATAGGTTATGAATAAAGAAAAGTCATATTCTTTTAATAGTTTAAAGTCTTCCATAACTTGTCCTCAAGTTTTGGAACTTGAAGAGTTTTTTGAATTAAAACTACTTTAAACACATAAGTTATGGAATTGAATAGTTTTGAATAGTTTCAAAACTTGCCCTCAAGTTTTGGAATTTGTAAAGTTTTTCCTTATGAATACTTTAATTCCAAGTTAAGCCCTTAGAATTTTAACGTTAAAATTCAACCCTTACACTTTATAGTATTATAAGTTAATAATATATATATATATGTATAAGAGCAAGTCAGTCTTACCGTTAGGGGGGGGGTATAATGTTACTGCCTATAAAATGGCAGTTTAATGGGTGTCCACTCTCACCCACCGCTTCCTTGACTGGTGGAGGGTCGTTAGTCGAATGGGTAAGACAAGGAGTAGAATTCTCCCTTCATTAAAAGTATTAATGATAAATACTAAGTAACTAAACTTTTATAAATTCCCAATTTTAGTTACTTAGGAAAATGTGAATTTGGTGCTAACCCATGAAATTACACTTTTCACTTTGCTTAAGTCGTTAGTGGAGTGCGTGTGGGTAACCGGCATACTAACCTGGATTTAACAAGGTAGGCAAAGGGTAACTTAATGTTTATCATAGTATCGGTGAAGCGCGTGTGGTTAATCGGCACATCGATTGAGGGGTAAATATTAAGGGTACAAATTATATATGCATGGTTATTCACACATTGTTTTCTGATCCTCGGCATCCCAGTCACAAAATTTGAGAGGGCACAATCGAGATTGAAACATGCCGTTGAACAATTCAATGAATCTCAAAAGATCTAGGAGTTTCAAATCCAAGTAAAACCTAATTAAATTATTTCGTTTTCATGGTGGAAATTGGTGAATCGTCATTCGCCTACCTTCAAATATTTTATAGCTTGGATTACAACATCCCTCTTCCAAGTTATAAAAGTATTGTGTTGGGTCCTAGCCTTAATATTTCATATTGGGTGTTATATTAAGGACTTTATATCAACTATCTTGAATATCTCCCAATAGATGTCTAGTTCAGACATCTATGATCTTCCCAAATCTCTTGGAACTTCACTTCCTCCACCTCCTCCAATTTTTCTCCCTAACCCACAAGTTCAAGGTCACTCAAGCCCTATTGGCAAGCAAGGTCTATGTGTGATCGCATCTTGGAGATGAAGTCACATATTGACAAGCTGGGAGAGTTGGGTGTCAAAGTCTTAAGAAAGTTGGATGTTCAATCACTTTCTAAGTCATATAGTGAGTTCCTTTGGGACTACTATGAAACAGACTATGACATGACCCTTAGTGATGTTATCTATTTTCTTGGTGCTGCTGAATCAACAATGATTTGAGGAATAGTAAAGCAAATTTGATTAGGAGATAAACTTCCCAATGGACATTGACAATGGTAACATTGGATATCTAGAAAAGGCTTTCTCTTCCCAATGGAAAGGGATCGGCCACAATCAACTCGGTTGACCAAATGGTAAAGAGAAAGGCTAAGTCTGTGATAGTCCCATGTACCATTCCCAAAGAGTCCAAATGTTTCTCTTGCCAAAGGAAGGGGCATTGATTGCGAAGCTGCCTATTTACCTGAAAGATCATAAGGTTGATCAAGTCAAGAAGTTTGACTCTACTTCAGGTAAAGTCCACTATCTAACTCTGTTAAGTTTCTATTCTGAGATTCTTATTACATGATGTGACTGGGTTACATGTTGATGTTTTAAGAATCAAAGAAAAGTGAAGAAACTTAAAGGAAGTATATGATGTTTCTGATCGCGAAGATGGATTTCGATTGTATGGTTCGTTGATAAGAATTTTAAGTTGTTGCTTAGGGGTTGTTATATATTGCTTAGGAATAGATAACAACAAGTTTTTCATATGCTTTTGCACTGTAAGGATAAGTTTTTCCGCAAAGTTTTAAAATAAAAGGAAAATTTTTGATTTTATATATTCTAAGTATCCTTAAAATGGCATTTGTGAAAAATTGTTGCTTATATGATTTCATTGATAGCAATATTGGAAAATGGATTTGTTTCTTTCATTTGTGGTAATGTCTAATTTACCAAATAAGGAAAGATTCTCATCACCCAAGTTTTAATTGGACCGAAACTTGGAATCATGCAAGTTGTATAGTATGATGAATGAGAATTTTTATCTTTGGAAAATTAAGACTAATTCCTTGTTCACATGTATATGTGAGTCAAGTGAAGGACTAAGGGATCGAGTACACATTCTTGTTCACTGATCAAGTCCACCACAAAGATCGTTAAGACTATTCGTCATGATTTTCTAAAGCTTAGTAAATATGGTTTTACTTACTAGATTAAGTATAATACTGAAACATTGGAAAAGTTTCGATGTATGGCAGAACGAATGAAAAGAATCAAATTAGGCAGAAAGATAAAAGTTTCTCAAATCTGAAAAGATGGGAGAGTACTTTAGTATCATGTTTTATGATCATCTTAATGATTAAAGAACCATATCACAATTGGTCTTCTAAGGACATCTTAGTGCATTCTAATGGCTAAGAAGAGGAGTCATGAATTGTTGAAATGGTGAAATCAAGAAGATGAGTCATACTTCATTCCAAAACAAGTCTTAGAGTCATACTCCAAGATTGTAA